CCAAACAATTTCCAGCCATTGTGTCCCAGTCTTATTATCCTCCTATTTCTGTGCTACTTGCCCCTGCCCAGCCACGATTTGGTCAACCGTCCGAGAGTAGTATCTGAAGGAGGCTTCAGAAACCAGTTTCCTACCTAGCTCCTTCCAATCGAAATTGTTACCCATTAACCTCAAGCCCGCCAGGAGTAATTACTAGCCCCAATACTAACCTATAACTACTGCTGTATAAAATGTAAATTCTAAAATTACTGATTTTTGGCTCCGCAAAGTGTCACACATGACTGAGCCTAGTAAATAAACGAACTAGTTAAAAAAAACAGTGATATCATTGAAGTCATTTTTCATTTTGAAGAAGACCACTTTTCCTACAATTTTACAAGCTTTATGATCACCAAAGACGTACAAAAAAAGACAAATTTTCAATTTGAGGTAATTCCTTGTAGAGTCCACAAATGGCCACTATGCACTTCCACTTCGAATTTTTAATTACAAAAATCTTCGAAATCAGTGCCCCATTTCTACTTCATGTATGCTGCAGTGCTGTTATTTGTGCGCTTAAAGTTTCGAAGTGGTTCCGAAAATAAGGATGTCACAGCGCATCACCTTAAAAAGTGAAAATTCTGATGTGAGTTACGTTTGACAGATGTTTACATTTTTATCAGAGACGTTGCATAGAGACACGCATAGACTGAAGCAAGAAGAACCAAACGAACCATCAAAACGCCGAACTGAACCCGGGACGGGACTTGACAATCCAGATTCTCACTCTTCTTAATGTTTTTGATAAATGCCCGTCGAAAATTAGTGCATGGTGTTTGACGGAGTTGACCAATCATGCCAGAATTTCAGAAAAGCAGTTTAGCACCTCGCACATAATTTTTGCTTAACACAATAAAAACCAACCATAAACAAACAAGAATTTATTATGTTTATATATTCCAACTTTCCTTTCGCAAATATAAACCTAAGAGAAGAGGACACAATACGGGGGCCAAAACGAACCACTTTTCTGTCAAACAGGACCAGCTCGTGATTGGCTGATTTGCAGTGCGTAAGATAGAGATAGATATAGATAGAGATAGAGATAGAGATAAAAGAGTAAGAAGCCAGTTGTCTCCTCTTCCTCTTAGATATAAACAATTAAGAACGCCATTGACGTCAACATTGATTTCGGCATCACTGCCAGTCAGATTGATGTGATCCCTCTGCAGCGTTGCCAGAATGTTTTAAAGCATATCGGTATCAAAGGTTTTAAAAAAATCGGTATTTATCGGTATGTGCAATTTTAATTAATTTTATATTTTTGCCGTTTTTGAAAGCGAAAATATTTATCTTTTGAACTATAGTCGGAAAATTTTGGAAGAAAACTCCGGAGATTGTTTGAATTAGCTTTTGGAGGAAGCTGAAAACAACATCCAGAGAAAGAAGAAAGAAGCTCTCCTGGAGGGAATTTAAGGAAAGAAGTCGGAAAAACATCCGCGAAACTTCCAAGCCATAAATTGAGAAACTTCTGGTGAAAATTTCAGAAAAAAAAATCGGATTTCACATTCAAAGGAAGGCAGAAAAGTTTTGGAAATCGAAAATAAATTTCAAAAGTAGCCATTTCCAGGGAAAGCCAGAAGGAGCTCGGAAAAACCTTCCAATAGAAGTAAAAAAAAAACAACTGTACAAAAATCCAGCACAAGACGAAAAAAATTTCTGGGAGAAGTTTAATTGAACTTCCTGGAGAAGACGGAAGAAACTTCCTAAAATTCTGGAGGAAGTCGGTAGCAAGAGCGCTAACGGAACATTCCTAAAATGTACTTAGGAATATTCCATATTTCCTCGGGCTGTTTTGAAGTACTCTGTTCATCTTTGAAATTCTTGGAACTTCCCTGATTATAATGAGACTACCGGAATATCTCTAATCAACTTTGAAGGTCTCTAGACTTTCTTGAAGATTACGAAATTTCTTAAGAGCTTTCACAATTTTCTTGAATTAATTGTAAAATTGGGATGAAAGTTCTAATTTTTAAAAGTTATCGACACTGCCATTAATAAGAACGGAACTTCCCATAAAATGATCTCACAATGTGCTAATGTTCATGTAACTTTCCTTACGTTTCTTAAATTAGCATGAGCCTCTCGGAACATTGCTGAAGTTTTTGCAAATTGCCTGAGTTTCTCGGAACTCCTTTAAAATTTCAGCGATTTCCTAGAAATTTATTGATCTGTCTTGATGTTCTCGGAGCTTCCTAAAGTTCTCTCAATTCTCCTGAAACTAATGGAACTGTCCTGAAAACCATTAAATTTTCCAGAAGTTCTTTGGACTTGTGAAGTATCCAAAATATTTATGATGTTTCCTTAAGTTCACTGGAGTTCACTGGAGCGGGTTTTAGAATTTTAACAGAAGTTATTGACACATTCTATAATTTATCGAAACTTACTCAAAAGTCTGGCATTTTCTGATGTTTCAGAACCGCAATCAAAATCTGGAAGCATCCCTGAAGTTCCGGGAAAGTTGAAAAAAAAAACAAAAAACTGGCGGGAAAAGATGGAAGAATCATTCGAGCGAAGGTTGAAGAAGCTTCCAAGGGAAGTCGAAATAAGTTTCCGAGAGGAATCGTAAAATAATTTACGATGCAAGGTGGAAGAAAATTCAGGAAGTTTGGATATTTAAAAATGTATTTCCCGATTCCCCCGAAGTTACCTGAAAGAGCCATCGACTGTTTATCGATTCATGGGTAGCCAAAAACGGTGAGGAAATTGAAACATTACGTATCCATAAGACATTTTTAAAGATGTTTTTTTTTTTTATTTTAAAGGCTCAACAAATTTGAGATATTTAAAAAGATACAAGTCTCTATAATGAGAGAGAGAAAGATTAGTATTTTCCATTTAATTCCACTACTTTATTTGCTTATCCTTGACAGATACGCGTATTTCGTCTACAATGTGCAGACTTCTTCAGTGTCTTGTACTAATAAGTACGACTAGTCGAGTATTAGTACAAGACACTGAAGAAGTCTGCACATTGTAGACGAAATACGCGTATCTGTCAAGGATAAGCAAATAAAGTAGTGGAATTAAATGGAAAATACTAATCTTTCTCTCTCTCTCATTATACAGGTATTCCACTAAGACGCCCACATTCATCAGGATACAAGTCACTCACAATAATTGTCTTCAAAATTCGAGCGCGGGCAGGCAATAATCATTTTGATAATTTAAAAAAATCGGTATAAATCGGTATAAAATCTCAAAATCCGGTATTCAGAGGAACCTTATCTGTATATCGGTATATCTGGCAACGCTGTTCATCTGTCCTTTTTATTCCACGATTGCTACTGTCAAATCGACCAATCAGCAACTGTTCAGCAATGTTTACAACATTTTTGCTTCTAACACCATCAAGCAGTGTTGTTAGTTCTACGGGTTTATCCGTAGATCTACGGATTTTTAGATTTACTACGGATACATAAAATTCTACGGATTTTCCAGATTTTTAGGGAGTGCGGAAGAAATTCTACGGATTCTAAAAAAACCCCAGCTAAAAAAAATCTTTTTGAATGACTGTTTTAGGTAAATAGTCATTAAAGGCCCACGCACATTAGATCGGACGCGTTGCGGCAAAGTGACAGCTAAATCTATTGTCTAACTGTCAAATTTACGTCAACGCAACGCAAACGGATCTAATGTGGGTGGCCCTTAATTTTAACAATAATTACCGAAATGGAAACAAATTTACCCATCTACGGATCGGACTCTATGAAAAGTTAACAACACTGCCTGTTGGCCCCAGGCCAGTGACAAGGCCTATACCAACAGCAGCGTTTGACAGTAGGCAGCATGTCCCGGGCTCAAATCACTTATGTTGCTGTGCTGGGCCCGCTGTCACTGTATAACATGTAACATGTTGCCTACGCGCCTGCCACTGGGCTGGTTGGCCCGGACCTTATATAAACGTCGTTGACTCGGGTTGAGGTTCGCACTGACAATAACCTTGGTTTCGCACGGGTTGGGACTATGGAGGGGAGGTGGCTGTCAAATACGAACAATCGTCGCCTACCTCGCATAGCTGGTTCCAAACGTAAACAAGCCATAAGAAACCTACAGCGTTTGTTTACGTTTGGAACCAGTTTCATACAAGAATGATCAGTAGGCTGATTTGATAGCACGTCCCCCCAGGTTGGGACTGGTTCCAACCTGTATAATAAACAAATTCGCTATTAGTCTCTTTTCAGTGTTCCTATAGTGGAGGATGCATTTTCATGAGAGAATATCGAAACTTTTTTAATGTTTTCAATTGAATACTCAAATATTGTCCATTATACATTAGATCCTGTGTCCACATATATCATTTCCCGATGAGCAAATATTGTTATACCCGAGGCTATAATACAAGCGATGATACCTATTCGGTCTGTTCAAAGGAAGACAATTTGAAATGCAAAATTCTGTCATAAATGTTCTATACCGTGGGCAAATCAGGGTGCAAGTAATGAAATGTTTCGATGTTTCACAATTACTGTTACTACCACAACCACTGGAGCATCTACCCTAACAGGATTCAAAGGCGTGTGCCTCTGCTGGTGCTGAAGCTTCTTCTCCCGGTTTCTGAGAAAAGTTTATTGCCACGAATCACAATACGATGATAATCTTGTCGGATCCTTCGTTCCTCGTCGAAACTTTCTCGCGGTTTAGGTTTGCCACGATTGAGGAATCATCCTATAGTATGTCAACTGAGAAGCGGATCAACGATGTTTATGATGTCTGAGGGCATTCCGCGGAAGTCTGCATGCTTCGCAAAGCATTTCGTATTGTTTGTCGACCCGGTACCGAGAAGCCATTCGCATTTAATTTAATTTGATGTTCCCCTGTTAAATTTCCAGGAAATTATACTCAATTGAAAAGTATTGTTTCAGGCCTTACAACTTCATTATCCTGTTGACCTTTTCGCAGACGCTATTGGAAATTAAATCCTGTTACACGGCAAATAAGCGGTATCATTGGAAACTTACCAGCTTGGAGCTCTCGCAGCCCACGTTGATGTCTATGGTCGTTTCGCGGAAGCTCGACTGATCTCGCGCAAAACTGGTTCCGAAACCACGCCGCCGGCCGCACAGTGTCTCCCGGAAGGCCACCCGATACCTATGCGACATCACGTTGTACAGGATTGGGTTGATGGTGCTGTGGGGGGAAAGGGAAACGGTTGTTGTTGTTAAAATGTGAAATCGAAATAGTATCAGCACCTTCGCCGAATGGCATCAGGATCAATTTTCGGTTCATTGATTACGACGGGGCTTTGGTGACATGTCACAATCGATTTGAGGAAAGTCTGAGAAAGAGGATTAATTGAGTGGGAACTAACGATAATTTTCGATGAATTTTAATGGCCATGCGGAGGCGGGAATCACTGCTCAGTGCCGTTGATTTGACTAACTTGTGTTGTAGTGGGCGTGGAGATCCTGGACCCCTCGTTTTAATTTTGTTTTTATATCTCAGCCATTAATGTGGTTATTGCTCAGACACACTTCAAAGACCAATATCAGGTACAATCTTAACTATTTTTCCAGAATTTTGGAAAACGTATCCCCTGGCTGCATCCAGGGATGATACTAGATACCCGCTTAAGAAGATTTTGCACTCATGATTATTTTTTTCATTGTTAAAATTCACTCGAATGTTAAAGTCTCAAACAAATCTTGAAAACTTTGTTTGACCCAGAATCATGAACATGTCTCCTTCTCATTATTACCATCAAACGGGGTAGCTTCCAACAATTTTCATGTTACAAAATGTGTATAAATAAATTGCGAATTTCATATTACATAGCATGAATACATTCATAGCAGTGGTCTTTTGTTAGGATATGTGAAATGAGATCAGATGGGACTCATATGTGAGTATATTTTGAGTCGAGCGGAAAAGTAGTCGCATACCAGTCCCATTACTTACTATTGCTGGTTTTGTTGTTTTCAACGTAACACCATCGTCTGGCATGATTGAACTACAGTTGTACATCGATTGGGATTCTTTTTAAATCTAGTTTCTCAATCGCTAGTACCATCATGTTTGCCACAGATCAGAGATTTACGGGCAGTTCAAATAATACGATGGGAATTGCTGAAAGCTTACAGAGGGTTCGAGTAATTCAGGAAATTTCAAGCGTAATCTTACGTAAGGGAAATTATAATAATATGAGGGATTCTTCTTGACGAGTCGTCAACCAATTCGGACACGTTTTTCATAAGCTCCGGCCCCGCGCGCGATAAATCAAATAAATTAATATTGTTTTTGTTTTACTGTATTGACCAAGTGTAATTTTTGCTAACGTCATGAGCTGTGAAATGTGTGCCTTCGACGCCTCTGCCGATTCGATAATGTGGACTTGTGCGGGATGTCCACGTGTGTTCCATGCTGCTTGCATCGGTGTTACTGTGCAGTCACAGACGCGGGGTTCAATGCGGAAAAAGGAGAGGAAACCGATGATGAGCTGAAGTCATTGTCAGCTCATATAATGACGTCGCAGAACCCCGCACCTTCGCCCGAGCCATCCGATCCATACACCAGTTTGGAAGACGAAATAAACAACACCGACGGATGGCGCCTTCTAGGCACCAGAAAGTTAAACAATGAGCAAAACGTTGATGACTCAGGGGGGCGTCTTTTGGGTACGAGGAGGGTCTGGAAGGCAGACTGGTGCTGAAAAAGCTAGAAAGCAAAGAAAACAAAAGACAGCACGAAATTATTCTAACGCAAGGAACAACATACACAGCAACAGTTTAAATGCTCGTAATCATTGAAACATGAATTCCGACAACGGTTACAGTACCAATCACAGCAACATTTTAGGCCATCGGAGCATAAATCGACATAACGACCAGGACAACATTAACAGCAATAGCAAAAACAACAGTTCCTATCAGTTCCACATCAGAAATCATGGCAGCCCCCGTTTTCTTCCACCTGATCGAGAGCTTCTTTCAGCAGCAAAAAATGTCTTCAACAGACCGCCGGTTAATTATCAACCTACGATACAGTTTGAAAAAGGGGAAACTATAAACCCATACCCAGTAAGCGGTCTTCCAAATTCACATGGTATGGCGTGTTTTCGGCGCAACTGACGCACTCATCTGAGGTAGAATATGACAACACAGCTGAGCCTGAGGATCATGGCATCTCACATAACTTGAGAGATGTTCGGCAGTATGCAGCAACTTCACCCCCTGACCAGCACGACGTAAGTGACCATGTCGCTAGTTTATCAAGTAGCTCTTTTTTAAATGATTCTACAGTCTATTGCCAACATTTTAACCGTATGCGTAGTGCGTATAAAATAAATGAAATTCAAAATAAAATAAGCGGCTGCACATATGATATAATAATTGGAACAGAAACTAGTTGGTCTGAAAGTATTAATAGCGAAGAGGTCTTTGGTAGTAAATTCAGTGTGTTTCGATGTGACAGCGATTTATCATTATCAGGTAAAAAATCAGGTGGTGGTGTACTTATCGCTGTGAATGCTACATTTCAAGCTGAACAAATTGCTAGTGAAAAACATAAAGAATTTGAAGATGTGTGGGTTAAAATTTTAATAAATGGTGAAGAACATCTTTTCGCTTCTGTCTACTTTCCTCCACACTTTTCCAAAAAACCAGCTTACGAAAAGTTTTTCACTATTGCAGAACTGAAAATTCAAAGAGAAGATCCAAGATCCAAAATTCATATTTATGGAGATTTTAACCAGAATACTGTTAATTTTATTCAGCTGTTACCAATTGTAGGTGAAAACGATACTTTGCAATTCATCTTTGATAAAAGCAGCCACTTAGGACTTCATCAAATTAACCATGTTCGTAACCAGCTCAATTCCTATTTGGATTTTATGTTTACTAATTGTACAGAAGATTTTTGTATTGTAGAAGCAGCAGTTCCATTATGGAAGAATGAAAAATTTCATACGGCTATTGAATATTCAGTGTTCACAGACTCGCATAGGTCACGTCCAAGCGTTGTTGATTTTGAATTAGTTTATGATTTTAAAAATGCAATTGTTCCTGAATTTCACAGCAGACTGAATAACATAAATTGGCAAAACCTTTTAAAAGATGGAAATAACATGGACAAGGCTGTTGACATATTTTATACTAACTTATACAATATTATTGAAGAATTCGTTCCTAAAAGACTAAAGAGAATAGTGAACAGCACCAAATATCCTGTGTGGTATACACAAGAAATCAGAAATATTAAAAACAGGAAGCAAAAAGCACACAAGTCGTATAAAAAGTTTCAAAATGTGCAAAATTTAGAAAAACACGTTGTTATTTGCAGAGAACTTGAGGCAGAAATATCGTCAGCATGAATTACAATTCAAGAGTAGAGAACAACATACAATCTGATCCCTAAACGTTCTTTAACTTCACGAACGAAAAAATGAAGTCATGCACATTCCCATCACGCATGCAGTTTGAAGAGTTTGATAGCACTGATCAGTATTGGAAAAATATCAAAAAATCAAATCTCAACAACGCCCTAGATCACGCTTGATTTTCGTGGATAAAAATCAACAAGCAAACAACTGCGGTTGATTTTGCAAGCTGTGATATCGCAGCTCGGAATATCAAGCTAACAAAACTCACCAGCTGCAAATCTCAGCAAACTGTGGTGAGATTGAGTTTCATAATTTTTGCTTTACACACGAATGCAACTGAAACTTCCATAACGGCTGGCAGCAGTCGCTTCGTGTATGCCATCGGTGAAGAGTAAAAAGAGATTTCTTTCTAAGTAAACGATGTGCAACGGAATCATTTTTGTGTCGAGTCAACTCTCAGCTTGATTTTTGCACGTTGTGAATAGTCTCGCAATATCAAAGGAGCTTGTAAAATCAATATCAAGCATGATATTTTGTTCCAATATCACGTGTGATATTGCGTGCACATGAGAGCGGAAAAATATCAATTGATTTCTGATTTTGCCAACACTGGCACTGATAGTGAGGATATTTGTAACCAATTTGCTCGCTTTTTCCAAAACATATATAAGAAATCCAGTAATGCTCTTGATTTGAACTATTTTTCTTACCTACATGAACGGGAAAATGACGTATCAGTTAATAATATCACTGTTCAAGAAATTTTGACGTAGGACTACGTCTTTGATTTCTATATGGGGGTACACTTTGTGAAAACCGAAAATGGAACATGTAACAAATTAAGAAAGATTTTGAACGTTAATAACTTCTCTGCCCCTGATCCAATTTCAATAATTTTATCACCAATCGATCAGAAATATGGCTACGCATCGATAACAATGCTTCCGAATGTTGATTTTCAACAAGAAACTATTGAAAAACTGGTAAATGTCCAGCATTGTCAAAAAGCGTCGAATTAACTAATAAATCCACCAATTACCTACATGCATATGCTGCTTCCCCAGCACAGTCGTCAGAGAGTAGTAAGTAGACAAAACAAGTCGAAGTGGCATTCGCCTCTGATCCTCGGGAGCGTGCGAATAGGGAGGATGGAATTGCGTAATATTTTGCACACTCATCGCCATATTCAGAACCAAACGCAAATTCTTCGAGATAACTACCATCCAGACTGGCGTCTGGCTCGCCGTGGCGGTGTCTGACGTATCTCCGGTCTGATTTACGAGGTGTGCTGAAAGTGTTCCTGAAAAATGAGATCCGTGATGCTGTCACCTACACTAAACAAGCCAAACGTAAGCGGCCATGGATGTCATCTACGTTTTGAAGTGACAGAGACGCACTCTGTTTGGTTTCGGAGGTTAAATCGTCACCAATATTGGCAACAAAACGGCTCTTTTCAGGGCCACCAAGCTTATTACAGTAAAGAGTAGGAATAGAATTCATCTGCCTGTTTGTCCATATTCAGAACCAACTATCACACAAAATGCTCATGTAATCAAACTGGAAGCAGGAGTACAAATTATTTTGATCAACCTTGATTAACTTTGAATCGCCACGGCCGGATATTTTCGATGGAAGAAGCAACAATCTAGCATCTGATTCGACGAAGACGGCAGGAAACATTTGTGAAGCCGAGTTATTTACGAAAGAGAGTGTCGATGAAGAGAATCGATCAATGTAGATAGGACCTATTGGAAAGTGACGCGAGATTTGTTTTCCGTACTGAGCTCCAATGCTACCGACGCCAGGGAGGCAG